AAAAAAAAAAAAATCCAAATTCACCACAAAGTGCGTAAACACTCCAACTGTGTCTTCACGTATCCATGAAGAAGAGAAGATGAAGAAGACGTTGAGGTGTTTTGGTGAAGTTTTGAATTTAGCGTCACATTCCCTCACAGCTCGGTCGGTTTAAACTCCCGCATCAGTTTTCCTGGAGGTAAAAATCCAAACTGAGACTAATGTTCGGAGGAAGAGGAGGAAGAGGAGGCATGTTCTCCCGCCGTGAGTTCATTCCCTGGCCGAGGAAACAAAGCAACTGACGGTCCGGTCAGTTATTTACATGTGCAGAAGTGAACCGGTGAGGTCCGTTATCTCTGGGAGCGCGAGCGGACCGAATGAAAGAACCTGCTCGCGAGCTGCTACTACAGCTGACGTCACAGCAGCTTCACGCGCGTGGTCAGCAAAGAGGCGGGACAACACACACACACACACACCGGCGCGCGCGCGCAGAGGGCCCAGGGCCGGGACAACACTTTCTGGGGCCCCTGCAGCAGCAGTTATCCAGCCCATCCAGGAATACAGTTTTCAGTCCTTCAGTGTAAATAACAGGATAAAGTCCATGTTCAGTCAATGTTGCAACAGAACATTCCCACAAGCTGTGTCTCAATTCAGGGGCCGCATCCTTCAGAGGACGCGGTCTACCCTGCCCACATGACCGCCTCCTTCCTGAGCCGCATAGACCGAAATGACACAGTCACGTCAACTGAGGATTTCCGCTCATCCCGCCCTTAGTGCTGTTGCCTAGCAACAGGGCTGAAGTTGTTTTTTACATGAGTACCATTAGCTGTTCGATTAAAGTATTGCCTCTTCCTCTTGACTCTTAAGCACAATCGATCTTCAAAGTCAGCCTTTGAAGGATGCTGCACCGGAATTGAGACCCCACTGTGGACTGTAACTAAGACACATGACGTGGTAGCGACCCAACAGTGAAATCAAATCATCTGGTCTGCCCCCTGGTGGCTGACTGCACTAAACCCTGCCTCCTTCATGTTTGTGAATGGGACATGGACCAAACTAAAATGTCAAAGTATCCATACATTTTTCCGTCATTTCTGTTTTCTGTCATACAGTTCCTATCACATGTGTCCAAGTAATATTTTTTACAATAAACTTGAAATTAATTATTAGATTCTAAAAATAAGGGAAAACATCACAGTTGATGCTGACACTCGTGAATGGTGATGTGTATGAATTTGTTAACATGATCACAACCGATGACATCAATACTGCAAGACGGTGGCACCAATGTTGGATTGAAATGTCTTGGATATTTTATAACCTACTAAAAGCCAAACTGAAGTTAAGGTAATTATCCTGAAACCTGATGTCTCCCAACTATGGTTTGGAGAGTGCACATTTTACTTCTGGAACCAGGGGTGCCCAAAATACCTCCTCCCACTTGTCTTGTAGTGCCTATTGTAAGTCATTTTAAGAGAATCAACATAAACTGCTGTCAAGGTAAAAACAGACATTTGCACTTGAATGAAACATACAGGCACTTTCATAAATCTGCTACTCATTAAAGAAGTGAAATACTCAAAAACTAATCACTCCAGGAAAACAAAATGGTACTTTGCCGGGCTTATGTTTAATGTGTGATTCTCCTTTTACTCTGACCAATGTAATTAACAAAGCCTTTAGCTCTATTTTGGTCTCAACCAAATCCAGTAGGCCACAGAAGGACATTAAAGAGTGGACTTAAGCAGCAGGGTTCATTTAAGTCAAAACAGTATAACACAAAGACAGTTTTCATGACCAATGCATAGTTCTGAAAGCTGGCGGAAAACTGATCTGAAAAGGCTATGTGGTATTTTTTGGCCTGATGAAAGCCTTGTTATTTTACATGCATGAATATTGTGGAAATAAGGCGACAGTCAGCTGGGCTTGTGCAGACTGTGTCCCAAAGTTTCAGGTGACAGAGACTCCTCCAAGAAAAGGAAAACTGTTTTGGCCAGGTTCTGAACTGAGACCATTGACCCAAGATCAACGATATGGAGGAAACACATTTACCAGAGGAAGAAACAACTTGTTGCAATGAAAAAATATCTTTAAGATATCTGGAGCATTTGCTGTTAAATATTACCTTTGAGTATGTTGGTGCTGGACAGATCGGGCCAATGGTATACCACTGATTTATTAACCCCACTAAAGTGATAATGTATCCAGGATGTCCCAAAAAAGGTTAGATGTTTCAGAATGATGTGATGGACAGTTGAGGCATGGCTCAAGCAAGAAAAGTTCAACTTTATCATTTATTTAAAATATTGTATTTAGCCATTTTGAATCATTTGTCTTGAACCATTGCATGTAAATGGGGAACAAATCCTGTACATGTGATACATGAATTTTAATGACTGTGAAAATAGATGATTAAAAATATATAAACATTTTCTGCTATTTAACTAATGAATTTACGGGGCCATGAATTCTTATTGATTCTATAGGCTCTGTGTGCTTTCCAATTCAGTTTCATTTAGAACCAATTTCTATACAGTTAGCAGATGACTGAAAATGAACTGTAGAATGTAAAGAAAGAAAGCAATAAAACACATTAATATCCAATTCTAAAGTTTGTAGCTATATTTTTGTCCATTGTGCTGTAGGTAATTTTTAAATACATGCTTACAAAACTATCTACAATCTAATATAAAGTCTATTGAGGTTTATTTGTGCATGTTTGCAGCAAGGCCTCCATCTAGTGGCAATTCCACTGAATTAAATAAATCTGCAGATTACATTATCGGGGAAAAAACATGTATGAAATGATGATAGTTTAATTTACAGTGAAACTATTACTTTGAGCTACTTTGTTAATATTGTACTAATGTTTAATGATAACAGTTTGAAGTGGGAGGAAACAGAAGTTTTTTTTATCAAATGTAAATATTTTAAATGAGTCTCTTTCACTGTGGACTCATATTTGTCAGAAAGCGATACATTGACTCATGTACTGTAACAATTTTGAAATGCTAGCATTTTTCATATTAGCAGACCTAATACATCTGATTAAAAAGCAAACAATGATGGTATCAGCTTCTCAAATGTGACTACATGTTGCTTGTTTTAAGTCTAAAGGATGTTAAACTGAATATTTTTGGGCTTTTAGACAGTTGGTAGTTACTGTATATACACTCATCAAACTCCTGAAATGAGAATGGAAATCAGAGCGAAAAAATATTGCAGCAAGACCAAGACAGATCGTGCTCTCTGTCAGCATTGCCTCTGAATACTGAATTAAATATTTCTATGGTGTGACTATTTCAGATCTCTGTTAAAAGACAAGACTATCCAGACTGTTAATCTGCACTAATGGGCGCTCACCAAGTTTTTCACAATAACAAATACATAAATACTCACACATATCTGCTTACATCTATTTTATAATACTAACTGAACTACTTCACAAACCCAAGTCATGTCTCAGTTACACACACACACATGCTGTAGTTTTTTGTGGTATTGAGTAACAGGGTTTGAGGCGGATGTGAGTGTGCTCTACCTGCAGCTGCTGTGCACAGTAAGTGGTTTGGAGACGACAAGAATCAGGTCAGACACGCATCACAAGATGATTCTGCAAATGGCCTGTTTCTGCTGTTTGGCTCTGACATGCTGCACACAGCTCAGGATCCATTCAGTCAACTGATCAACAGCCACACTAAGAGATTTTTCTCTCATGTTACAAAGTTTGTATGGAAAGAATGGATCTTCCCAATGAAAAAAAAAGGTCAACAAAATTGAGTCTTCCATGAAACAATCTACCCAAACAATGCTAAATGAAGTAATAAAAGTAATAATAATGATAATACTGATAATGATAATAATAATAACAATGATAATAATACTTTTATTAATGTGTAGCACTTATTTGTAACCAGTATATAAAATAAAACAAAATGAAGTGAATAAAAACTAATGAATATGAGAGCATATCCAACAGCACTGAGCCCACACATGAATAGATGGGCCAGTGTAATACAAAAAAAGTTAATTCTCATATATAAAGAAGATAAGATTAAACCAAATAAGAATATATAACATTTTTTTTTTTCATTTGATAAATTTAAGCATGACACAGGATGTAGTCACTTAGAGTTAAGATAACGTCTTTATATCGTGGTTTCTACACTGGTCGTATCTGAAAGAAGAATATTTCATTCATAAATGCAATTTTATTATTACCAATATGTGGATGAAATAAAATCTGGACAAAAACAATCGTATAAACTTAAAAACATAAAGAAAATGCTAGCTTCTGCATTTTAACTGTAGTATTCCAAACCTTCTTTTAAACACCTTTACATATTAGTTGATATTTTGCTTTCATGTTGCATATTCTTAAATAAATGTGCATGCAATGTAATTTTCTCGAGATAATGACCATATTCAAAGTGGATTATATACAATTTTTAAAACTAGGTTTTAAAACAGGACCCTTGTACATGATAGGGCCTCGAGATTACTTAATTGCAGAAAGTATTTTTTTGTTTGATGATCTATTTTTCATACTACTACTTTTATATTGTGTGTTTGATTAAGGTGCACAGTTCAGCCTCTTGCCCATCAGCCCACCTGTCTCTCTCTCTATTGTTGGTCATACAGTGTCATACCAATGTTTCGCAGGGATTATATATACAACACATAACTGCTCTCTTCTTTTTTCCCAACTAATTGTTTAATATCTAAACTAATGTGCGATCACCTCCTGTGTTCTCTCCCCATTTCAAGAGTTTTTATCCCATTCAGCTTCATAGTAAACAAATAAGATTAGACAAGTGTACTTTTCTTCCATAACTCCGATAAACAAAACGTCAAACTAATTACTTTAATATTCAGACGTTGACCCTTCGGCTTCACGAAAACACTATGTTGCCGGGTTGTATTTTGAAAATCCGTCCGGAAACAGCACGTCACACTTTGTGCGGCTCTTTAGAGAGGGGCGGTTCTCGATCCACCGGTTTGTTCATCTTCCGTCTCAACGCGACATCACAACACAGAACCAGCACTCTCAATTTGTCCTGCCATCATTTGTGGGATCATTAATATGCAGGCGTGGTCTCAGCTCAGAGGGAGAAGTGGTCAACCTTAGAATAAACCTCACACAAGTTCAACCCCGGACCACAGAGGAGGGAAGGTGAGCTGATGGATTCTTTCACATCAGGAAACTTTAGGGAGATCACACACCAAACTTCACAGTCAAAATCTACTTATCTCTCTTCCTCTTTCACTTTCCAGCTATTTCTCACTTCTCTATTGTTCATGTTAAATATTTACTGCAATGTCTTACTAGAAATATCATTCAAATGCATTTGTATAAATGTCTGAACATTGAATCATGTTAATTTGGTTTAGTTTTTAATTCATTACAATGGTAAAATTAAGGCTGCTCTCAAATCTGGGCATTAATATCCTCAAATACAGGGAATCCAGGCTAAATCTTAACTTCTGGAGCATTTGTTTATTAACTTGTTTATTTATTTGTGTTGTTTCTGTTTATTTACTGGATCTTTTGTGTTAAGTTTGTCCTGCCTCGGCGGCATGGTTTAGCGTGCCTTGCTTTGAGGAAGTGGTTTCAAAGGCTGCTATTGGTTTATGAGTGAGAGAGCTTAGGGTCATAACAGCATATTGTAATTAGACATTACTTTGGCCAATATTGTTATTTTGTGTAGAGCAGTTTATGTGTCGTTGTCACCAGAGCGGTCAGACCTCAGGGTAAATACACCACTGCACTAAATAATGTCATTTATACAAGCATATTAATCACAGGGACGTTTAAGAGTTAAATGTAGAAAGCAAATCCATTATTTCTCATAGAGTATTTTTACATCGTCGTATTGGTACATTTACTCACATAAAGGATTCGGGCACTGATCCTCCAACAGTTTGTACAGGATAACTGAGCCGGTGTAATTCCTGGAATGTAAATGTTTGATGAATAATTCGCCTGTCTGCAGTGAGGACAGGGTTATACTGTACGTCTGTTGAAATGTTTAGCCTACTCTTCAATGACACATAAGCAGCCGTCTCCTGTCTCCTCTTTCCAACTGTAAAAAACACCTGCAGTAGTCATAAACAGTGAAGAAAAGTAACAAAGTACATTTATTCAAGTACTATAAGCAAGTAGGATTTTATAG